TTCCTCTCTTCTCTCCCAGGGCGTCCTCATGAGTGCTAGACAAATACTCTGTGTAACCACAGAGTTACACCCTCAGTCCAAAGATTTTTTATTTGTTTGTTTAATTTTAGTTGTCTTTAAACTTTCTTGAGTTGCAGTGGGCTCTGTCATTGGCTGTGGTTTCAGGGATCATGTAGGTAATGCTGCCCACCCTCCCCCACCCCAGCACTCTGGGAGGTGACAGATTTCTTTTGATGGGATCCTGTTCTGCCCATTCATACTCTGCCTTCACTACAGTTGTGGTGTTTATACTGTGTCAGCTTTTATTAAGATGAATTATGATCATTTCCATACAGCTGGGTAGCAGTTGTGGGAGTTTATATTATCAAAGCAAAACTCAGACTTACTCAGCCAATTTAGATGTCAATAAAACATTTGTTACTTATTTTCAGTTTTATCATTGGTTGTAATTTATACTTAGATTTGAAAATGTTACCATGTGTGACTGAGTTTATTTTAATTAAGTGTATAATTAGGCTAATGAACCTTGTAAAAATGTAGTGGTGCAATCCTTAATATAATCTAAGTAGTTAAATTTCTAATTATGCATCCAAAATCATGTACAAAGAGGCAGCCTTTCAATGCTTGCTTTCTGTGACTGTAGTTTTACTTTGACTTTTTAAAGAGAATTGTTCAAGAACTGTGAGGAAAGACTTGAAAGAGATGCCTATACAATTGCTTATTTTTGTTTGTTTGCTTAGGAAAAGTATTTGGAATGGAAAAGGATGTAGGAAACAGTAGAAGATGAGGAATGTTTGAGACTAACCAGAAAAAAAAAAAAATCCATTTGCTTGAAAAGCATATAAACTGAGTAGGGTTTACATTGGACTTATAGGGGAATTGTGGTAGGATTTTTTTTTAAACTATCCCTAATCTCTATAGTTATTTCTTTATGAAAGTGACCAGCTGCATTAGTAAATACACAATTAATTTCCTTCCTTCCTTCCTTCCTTCCTTCCTTCCTTCCTTCCTTCCTTCCTTCCTTCCTTCCTTCCTTCCT